CCGCATTTTCAAGTCCGCTCATGCTTGCAATGTTCCAAGACCAGCAAATGCTGTGATTTACAGCATGTACCCTTTTCTTTGCTGGTATATTACACACAGGAACCCAGAACCTTAACAGCGCAAAAGGGTACCACTGGGTTCCCAGAAGCTCTTCTGTACCGATGCTTGGCATTCATGCATTTAAGGGTTAGGGGTTCAGATTTAAGATGTAGAGTCTTTTGGATGTAGGGCACAAGACAAAAGGCCCATTCACGGCCCTATCGTAGACCCTCAATCCCACCTAGCCTTGTGGATACCCATAATTGCTACTAGCCTCTATCGTAATTTACAACATTTCAAGCCTTTCAAGACCAGCAAGTGCTGTAATTTGCAGCACTTCTCACGTTCCAGAACAAGCAAATGCTGTAATTTGCAGCACTTCCCACGTTCCAAAACTAACAAGTGTTGTTATTTGCAGCGTTTGAGATGCTCCAAGCCCAGGAAGTGCTGTAATTTGAAGCACTTGACGTGCGCCAAGACCAGCAAATGTTCCGAGACCAGCAAGCGTTGCCACCAGAGGACCATGGGACCAGAGGACCACAGGACTGGAGGACCACGGGACCAGAGGACCACGCGACCAGAAGACCACAGGACCAGGGCACCAGAGCCACACCAGGACCGAGCCACACCTTTGCAAAAAAAACCCAGGACCCCCTGAGGGGGGGGGGGGTTACCATATAGATATAGATAGATAGATAGATAGATAGATAGATATGTATATATATATATATGTAGGTATGTATGTATGTATGTATGTATGTATATATATATATATATATATGTATATATATATATAGAGAGATTCGTTTGAGAAACGCCGACTTCTTTGTTAAATTGTTACGTATGCTTAGTAGCAGTTGTTTGGATGTGAGGCGGAGGGCGCGGTCAAATTACAAGCCACGTCTGTCAGGCAGTTGCAGCTCCAAGTTTGGTTGAAAGAATCGTTGCCTGACTGTGCAGATAGAAAGGCAAGACGTTTTCGACTTTGGGCTATCAGGGCGTACCATCACGAAAAGCACTGCAGGATCTTGATGCTGAGTTTTCTCATGTAACCTGCAGCAGCTTGTAATGTCTTCTTGTGAGTTTCTGGAACTGGGGTTCTATTCTCAGGGGCCGGAAATGCCCGGCCGATGTTGAGGTCAACCCTTCTAGGGTGTATTCGGGTATTCTAGCAAATCAGTTCTGAGCAACAAGCCACATTCCAATGAATCAAACACATGGCCACATGGCTCTCTTTCAAGATGCGAGCTTCAAGAATCCTAAACCCTAAAACCCATTACCTAAACAGAGAACTCGCTGCAACCCTTGGTGGGAATTTGTGAGCAGGTCCTCAGCATCCCCATTGGCTCCCGAAGCAAACCACGACTAAGGCTATCTGTGTAAACAGATTTCCCGAATAGACCACCTCAGAAGGACCCGTAAAGCACGCCGTGCCTTTAGTGCAAAGGCGCCGAAACAAACGATAGAGGTCTTGTTCAACACGCAGAAGTGAACCACAACAGTACTAGACTGCAAAACCTCGAGAGCAAATTCCAATCAGCCCAACATCAAGTTCTCAACTACCCATTGCAAGGCTACCCATCTACGAGCTCAAGGTCTTAAGTGAAGCACGTCTCTTACCAATCCTAGGTCCTAGGTGGTCACCGGAGACTGGGTGAAAGGCACATGTTTTGGCCAAATGAAAGTCTTCTGAAAACTTCGGGGTCCCTACTTCAAGTAATTGCGGAGGTCCACCAGAGACCGCAATTCACAAAAGCCCCAAAATGGGTCCTTCATCTTGCAGCACCCAAGATCAACTCCCGAATGCCTGGTCGCCCACATTGAAGGCACCCATCTGCTGGGAGACCAGGAACACATCGTTGTTGAACACCTTGGGGCTTCTGAATACTGTGGTCAATTTATGGTCTTGTAACTAGTCATGTCATATTTTACGAACTTACGCGATGCTGCGAAAGCAACGAGGGGCCCTTCCCTCATGATGGGTTTATCAAGCGCTGTCGCTTTGCGTTCATCCTCACTACGGCTAGTACGAGAGTCATAGTCGGTCGCTGCACCTATTGCTATACAGTTGGCGTGGCCGTGAGTACCGGCATGGCCAACACTCTGCATGTTAGCAACGCTAGCACGGTTCTAAAAGCCTTCATTTCTACAGTATTCTGCAAGCAAACTGACGCTCTCGAGCTGAGCACAATGTCATAGGTAGGCAAGCCCATAAACAAACAGCGTCTGCTGCAACATGAACAATTGTTGTAGAAATCCCATACTACATCCGGGAAAAAACTTATGAAATCTTAGTCAAGCCCCGTATACTGCTAAACGGAAGCCCAGTGGCTCCCAGAAGTAGCGCTTCGTACAAATCGCGATGCAACCCCGCATGTAAGCCCAAGGTGGGCCCAACACTCCGTATGAACCTGCTTTAATCTCTACTCTAGCCTCCCTGCAACTTCAGAAAAATCATTGTTTCGATATTTCTTACAATAACCCTCATGTAAAACCTGATAACGACCCCTATAGTCCCCTACTAATCCATGTATCCTTAGGGGTTCCGTAGGGCCCACCAAGAGCCTCCCATTTTGAGAAACCTCCCAAATCAGCATATTGCCGCCTAGGCGTCAAAACTTCAAACAGCTATACTGACCTTGGAACCCTAGAGGAACAGGGTTGAGGGTATAATTATACTGACCTATGGTGGTGTATATAGTAAGCATCAAGACACCCCGACCCCACAAGCACACGAGGCCTGGTGAAGCTCATCGCAAGCGATGAAACCAAAGCCCTGGTCAGGGAAAGTACAGCCCGTGGTTTCGGGTAATTTGAAGTTTGGGGCTTTTCGTGAGGAGCTTATGGGGTTAAGTAAGGGGTCTAGGGGTACAGGTGGTCGTCCGGAGGGTTTCGGAATTGCGGCAAGCTGGTTACACAGGGTGTGGGGGAACTTCAGCGGACCTTCTCCGTGTTGAAGGACTTGATGAAGCCGTCGGACCGCCGCTCTACCAGCGCCTGCCAGCGAGGTCTTGGGTGTAAGCTTTTTACCATGATGATGTAGGAATCCTGAAAAACTACTGTAATGTAGGTTTGCATGGAGGGCTTTTTCTCTGTGACTTAATCTCCTTCACACGTTGGCCTCACGGGACACCAATCGCCTTGGAGCTTGAACCCGCGCGTTGTTTCAATCAACCATCACACACGGCCAGCTATGTGAAGCGAATGCGCAGAAGGTGCCTAACACTTCTGGTGGGTGCCAAGGCACGATACCTGAAAGTAGTTTCCATCTTCTGTTCCACCGCTGACAAGAGAAAGGAATCCGCCGAGGCCGCAGGCCCCCGGCGTCTTGGGGGGTTCAACTAAATAACCTCTAGGTAGTAAATACCCTCTACCTAATCCTTCTCCCTGCAGTGCACAAGTTTGGTGACAAGCGTTTTTTGGTTGGTTTTTGGGGGGTGCAGGCCTGTTTCTCCGGACGATTCGCGGGGGGTATGGGTACGGGGTAGGGGTAGGGGTTGGGGTAGGGGGGAGGGGTACGGGGGTAGAGGAGCCCTTTCCTTTTCTCTCTCCTTCGTCCTCCTTTTTCCCCCCCCTCCCTCCTCCCTACTTCCTTCCCCTCCTCCTCTTGATGGACGGCAGCTTCTCTGCCTCATGCCTCAGCCTGATCCAGGCGCCCTCGCCACTGACAAGCCGAGGCGGCGTAACGTTAGAATTACCAGGCCACGACATGAATATGGTAGTTTCCATGTTCCTTTCCATTGGGGTCCGAGACTGATCGACTACCTCATGGAGTCGGTTAAGAACGCACGAAATCAGACGGGAGGTTTCTGGTACAAAGCTCTGGAAGGAAGGAACTGCTTGAAGGGCTGGCCAAAGGCCTTGGCTCGGGCAGCAGCAGGAAACCCTTGTAGACATGGAGGCTGGCAAAAGGAGTTTCTCGAACTAGGAGGCCCTGCAAAACCCTAGGCGTATGCTTGGAGTGTATAGGAGCCGTTAAAAGGGATCATGTAGGGATCACGTCACGAAATACGATATGTCTGAGGCCTATGCTCTCGCTTCCTGAAGCTCCAGGAGTCTGCAGATGCTTATAAATCCCATAGCCACCTACAGGCTTTTCACTCTGTCACACATATACTGGCAGCCTTGGAACCTTAGTAAAATCGTTTTCCAGCCAAAATTCAAAAAATGCTTCCAAGAACCCTAAAACACAAATAGTGACTATATACCACCCAAACATGCGACTATATTCACTCCCCGACTCTCCCAAGCAGTAGGGGGAGAGCCTTGATGGGCGGATACGTCAGGTCTGGCACGGAGAAGGAGACCACGGAAGGGGCAAGCTCTGGCCTCGAGCTTTCAATACCGATATATTCCTACGAATACTCATACTCATACTAAGACTAATAGTAATACTGATACTAGTACTGATACGAGTACTGATACTAATACTAATACTAATACGAATACTAATACTACTACTACTACTACTACTACTACTACTAATACTAAAACTACTACTAATACTGATACTAGTACTGATGTGAATACTGATGCTGATACTAATACTAAGACTAAGACTACGACTAATACTGATACTAATACTGATACGAATACTAATACTAATACGAAGACAAATACTTATACTGATACTGATACTTATACTAATAATAATAATGAATTAATACAAATACTGATACTAATACTGATACTGATGCTGATACTAATACTGATACGAATATGTTGTTCTTGGAGTTTAAGGACATGTTCAGCGGACTAAAAGGGACTCAGGGTTTAAACTTGAGGGTTTTAGGGTTTAGAGCTTGGGATTTTTGGGTTCAGAGTTTTGAAAATGTAGATTCCCTTGTATTCCCGGGTTCGGAACTGTAAGTTTTGAAATTCAGGTTTCGATTTGGGGGTATTACTTATCTGCGCTGGTGTCTGCGCAGTGTTGCATGCCGGGCTTTCTCAAAACGGCCGGCCCTGGAGGACCCTAGGGATAATTAGGGAGTATAAGGGAAACACAGGGGTCCTTTTCATGATGGAGTATATAGGGGTTCTTTTGAGACATACCCGTGTTTCTCAAGGCACAAGCTTTGGTGATGGGCTTTCTGAGACTGGGGCTACGGCACATACAGTGCGGAGGGTTTAGGAATGGCTGCTGTGAGACCCTACAATTGCCGAGGTGTTTGACTTCACGCCAGGCCTTCAGACGTCTAGCTTCTCTCACACAAAGTCAGACAGTTCGCGAGACAATCTGGGTATGGCTATTCATTTGGGAGCTTCTGAAAATGGGGAACCTAGGTGACTCTAGGGACATAGGGGCATTATTCGGGAACTAGGGTGCTTAATATTGATGATATGGGGATTCTTTTGAGGAATGCCATGTCTGATGAAGGTAGGCGTCTTCAGGATATCCAAGCCCGTAGACGCAGGACTGCCTATTTCTCGGCACGACAGGGAATGACACAACATTAGGGTGACAAGGACTGACCGGGGGACATATTGGGAGTAAATGAGGTTCCGGGGATCTAAGCCCACCGCAGCATTGTGAATTGTCCCGGCAGTTCAGACGGCCAGGCGCCCTTAAACTGTCTGAACTCCTCCGCAATTTTCCACGGAAGCCGCATCATACAACTTAAGTACTCGCAGACACTTAAGCCTTGAACCCTAAACCCCCAAAACTCTGAACCCCAAAAACTCTAAACCCCCAACACCCTGAACGCCAATCCCTGAAACGATAACTGGGCCCCAAACCGGGTCTCAAGGACGGAGCAGATGACGCTGACAGCAAACTGTTCGTCCAAGGCCCTGGGACTCACGTTTTAGCATTTCGAAGGTTTAGGGGGTTTAGGGTCTGGCGGGGTTGAGGGTTTTGGGGAGTTTAAGGGGCGTAGAGTCGGGGCTGCAAATCTAACTGGAATTGCAGACTGTCGAACTGGAAAGAATTCTGAATGGTAAGGACGAGCAATTTTCATCGGCCCCACTTGATTTAAAGATCACCATGGCTTTTGCAGGATTGAGCCGTGTCTTCACTAATCCCCTCCCCAAGGGAAATATCAATTATTCGGAGAGGTATGCAATCGGGCCTGTGTTTTCTACTATTTATCTGGACAGCTGTCCTTGATCACGACAGGATCCTGAGCATCAACTGCATGAGCTGAAAAAATACTATGTAATGTGTAAAGCCATAGGCCCGTAATTCGTACCAGTCTCCAGAAATTACCCTCGTGAAATAATGTAGTACCTTGGGAATCTTAAAATGAGGGGAGGTGGCGGGTCTCAATTTAAACGAGAGGGGATTAGATACTGTCAGCAGGCCATTGACGCATTTGAGATTGATTGGAAGCTTCTAGCCATGCTAGCGATGAACTCCTTTCCAGCAACTCGCCTTGCCTACTAGCTAAGTCTTATTAGGGTTACACAAGTTTGTTATGGCATGGAAACCCTATGGGTAAGAAGATTCTGCAGTTTTATGAGATGTGTGCAGGCTTTATGCTCACGACTACTTTTCGGTTGCTTACGCCACCTACCACGGCTACCCCAGCCACAGGAGAGTCACGAGAATCACAGGAACATTGAGCCAGCTTGACCATCAACCTTGTCTGTGGTCGGGGACTCCAAGCTTTACAAACACTGCCCCCCGGTTTGCAAAATTGGGATTCCTGATGTACTCAGAACAACAGTCCGTCCAGAAGGCACTCAACGAAGGAACCCACTCGACATCCAACTTGCCGCAGAAGACACGGGTGCTTTTCTGCAACGCCCTTTGCACATCCACATGCGATTTGTGAAAGCAGCGGCAGCACCGAGTCATCCACAATCAGCTACAATGTGAGTCAACATTTCATGTTGCTCCAGCAAGGCCGGATGATGAGCGCATTGCAAGATTGGTTCCTCTGCATGCCTCCCCCCCCCCCCCCCCCCCCNNCCCCCGAATTCATGTTATCGCAAGAGAAGGACTCACACTTCTATTGGAAACCCCAATGTTGCTTCCCCCTGTAATTGGGTTTCCCCGCGCGACGGATTCAGCCAGGCTCTGGAGGTCCTGTTGCGATATCTCCCCGCTTGGAGATCAAGTCAAGGGGAGGGCGGGCTCTGAATTCGGGTCGACATTTTGGAGATTATGCGGACTTGCTGCGAATCTTCTAGACCGAGAACAGTCCTCATAAGCTCTAAACTTACACCAACTGCTTGCCGCAGGGCCCAGATGTAAACATGCTTAGCATAGCTTTGCGGCATTCCTGAATCCAAGCACAAGAACAGGTTTAAGGAACTGTCTGCCCGGATGGGGGTAAACCTGAGTACTCCCCTCCCAAATCCCACCCTCTGTGTGGTAAGAAATACTACAATACTATAGAATACCCTAATCGGCCTTTGTTACATTGTGTTGGAGAGTGGCTTAATATCAGGGGCTGGTGACTACATCATGTTCAGAAGTCACTCGTCGGCCATCCAAATACCAAGACCGAGGCATGGGTACCATCACAAAAGGGGGTGGGTGCGCTCTTCACGATTGTTTGCGAGCATACTCTGAATCCATCTATCTATCTATCCATCCATCCACCCATCCATCCATCTATGTCTATATGTTGAATATCTATCTGAATCTATCTGTAACTATGTATCTATGTGTGTACATACATATTATGTACGTATGTGTATATGTCATATGTATTTATTTATACATACACACACATAAATCTGTGTTCACATATTTCTATACATATACACATACATACATACATACATACATACATACATACATACAGACGTACATACGTACATACTTACATATGTACATACGTACATATATACGTACATACATACACATATACGCATACCTATACATATGTGTACATCTACATATGTATACATATACATATGCACGTATATAGATATATGCATTTATGCATGTACGCATATGTACATATATACATATATACATACATACCTATGTGCATTTATACATCTATACATCAATACAGCTATACATATACATATGTGTATGTATATACATACACATATGTACATATGTAAGATACACATATACATATATGCAAAGCTCCATGCATATTTACATGTATCCACATCTACATCTCTACATATCTATATATACGTATATACATATACATATATATATATATATACATACATATATACATATATGCATATATACATATAAACATATATACATGTATACACATATACATATTGCCTGGTATACAGGCATACTTTTATGCATATATACACCTGTACTGTTATAGATTTATGCATATGTACACATATTTCTATATACATACATATGTGTCTTATCTATAGATATATGTGTACATATATATATATATACATATATATATATACCTCTATATATATATATATACACACATATTTCAATGTTCACATCTGCACGCATACATACATATATATATATGTACACACACACATATATATATATATATACGTATATACATATTTGTACATGTGTATATATATATATACATATACATACACACGTACGTACGTATGTACATACACACACAGGCCTGCATACATACATGCGTACATACATACATACATACATACATACATACATACACAGGCATGCATACCTATATGTATACATATATGTAGATGTACATATATACATATGGATATACATCTATACATATATGTTTTCGTGCTTATCCATGCAAACACCAAAAACCCTCTCTCTACAAGGCGGCAGAAACCAAACGTCATTCTACATCCTGAAAAAGGTCTGTTCTCGCGCCCCAGACTCCAGCCCCCTGTACACTTTCAGAATACACCCTGCAGAATCCCCCAAAAATAAGCTTCCCTGACTTGAGCTCCTGCTCCATCGCTGACGATGGCCGCTCGCGGCCGCACGCAGCAAGAGTATCGCTGAGCCAAAAGCAGCGGGAAGCCAGTGATGGGGAACGCAACGGGGAGTCTGGGATGGAGGGTTTGGGGGCCTTGGGGCTGGCAAGCACTCCAGGTTGGAAGGAGGCCTGCACCCTAACTTTAGGTCTGGGACTGGCGCAAAAGAAGGACTTCTTGTGTGCAGTTCTACTGGCATGCTGGCTTCCATTCAAGTTTAAACAGGAATGAGCATGTCCCCCTACCAATACCCCCCCCCAACACCCAGAATAGTAAATGTGCCTTGATGCAGGGGACTGCTTTTTTGATATTGGGGCGTAGCAGCTTATTCTAAGGGCAGGGGGATGACATAGGGACCAAGAGAAAACAGACAGGCTCCGCTGGTGCAAACACGCCGTCATGTTGGATGGCCACGGGCGTAAAATTGCCAAACCTTGATCCCTAAACTCTGTTCCCAAAGCCGCATGTCAACATTCGAGTCCTTCATGCGAAGCTGCTTTTCGAATCAAGCCGGAACCCGGGACTGAACCTTCTTGTAGTGAACTACGGATGGTGACATTCAAGCAGATGACAAGCAATCGTACCGACATTCAGCCTAGAGCCCTGCCCAAAATTGTTGGTTGCATTCCTGATGGACATCAGTAAGTTGCAACTCTGAACGAAACTCTCCATGACGGCATGAAAACATCCGCCCCTGAAGATTAATCAGCTGGACAGTTGAGCGAACCCCCTCCTGAGGAACAACATCGCAAACGGCAGAGATCGCCTCGCCTTCCTCATGTGAGCTGCATTTGTGGGTTCTGCTCAGGTCTTGCTTAGCTTTTTTTCATGAGGGTGTTGCTGAAAGCCCAAGAAGGTTTTACAAGGAATTGTAAAGACTTGAAGAACCTTGTAGGATTCCAACGTTTAGCCGTGGAATCAACGCTGGCAGCCAGTTTCACTCTTGAAGACAAGGATCCTATGCAGGTTCAAAGTCAAACTCAATACTCATATGGGAATTTCTCAAAATACGGGGGCCCTAGGAAAACCCTGGGGATATTTGCAAGTAGGAATTTTCAGGAGGCTCTTGGGCCCCGTACTAGGGATTACAGAGAAATGATTTTGGAAAATGCTCACTCATATGACCAGTAAATGTAGAGGTCTGGGGTTCTCCATTTGTCTTATAGGGCATGCCAGCATCATATGTGGACAGAAAGAAAGATATCTTAGGACACTCAGGGAGTTTTGAAACAAATCTGACATGGGGTTTACAATGCTTATATATACTGGTGGTTAGTGGGCAATAAGGAAATAAGAACCATTTTTACTCCCTATATAAGATGCTGTTATAATTAACCACCAAAAACAAAAGAAATAATCTGAATAGTCACAAGACCAAACGGTGAAGAATGCTTGGTGCTTGTTGGGTACTGATGCCATCTTCGCTTTTGCTCTTCACTTACGCTATACTACTACTACTACTACTACCACTACTCCTCCTCCTCCTCCTCCTGCTGCTGCTGCTATGATTACTGCCTGGAACCTTCAGATAAACCCAGCACATCTTGAACTCTAATCCGGACCTGGAAATCCACGCACCAAAGGCATCTAAAAATGCCGGCTTCTGTTGAGACGTAACAGCCTGACTCGTTTGAGGACGGTGCTACGTATTTGATGTTGAGACAAACGGCTTTAAGCCAAACGTGGGTCTCTACGACTTGTTGTTGGGGGGCTCTTAGAGGGTGTGGGAATATGGGTTCCGGGATTATAGAAGACTACTCAAGGATCCATTCCAATAGTTCCTACTTGCCACCAGTACTACAACCCAAAGAGTTTGGTCAGCTTCCCGTGTTTTTCTAAGATCACATCCGACCAGGTCCCCAGCGCCAGTATCCACGGGAGCTGCAGCTGCAGGAGCGCTTGAGGATGCTGGCGCCACAGGAGCCTTTCCAGGCGAGCAAGAGGAGGGGGCGCTGAGAAATGGTAGGAGGATTACTAGCAGGGCATTCAATAGTCTGGTGGTGGAAGCATCAGTAGTCGTGAGAAAATGCCGCAAAAATGACCTCAAGCAAAAATGTGTGAGCACATGGTGTTAGGGCTTTGGGCCCCAGTTCACAAGCCCCAAAGTTACAAAAAACTGAAACAGCACAAAGCAAAATGCATACGTCCATAGACGAAATGTCATTCTAATCTGTAGGCCCTGAACCAAATTCACCGAGCGATTAAGCAATGTGCTGGCTGGCCGGCAAGGCCCACTAAAACAGGAACAAGATGTTTCGTATCGCGCAACATGTTCAAAGCTGTCTTTTACTCGGCATCTGAATCCCCGAAGCCCTTGAACCCAGCAGAAGCAGCAGCAACAACAACGACGACGACGACAACGACCACGACCGCGATCACGACAACGACCACGACTACGACCACGACAACGACGACCACGACCACGGCCACGACCACAACAACGACAACGACAACCACAACCAGAAGAACAAACACGACCACAACCACAATTCGAGCTCTCTGAAGCAGCGGACCCTCAGGAAATCCCAGGGATGCACAGCCGGTTTAAGGTTTAGGGTGGAGACGGATGCCCTGAATCCTACACTACTCACATGCCTGAGACTTTCAGTCGAAGCTATTTAGAAAAATCGAATCTCGCTAAACCTTAAAGCGCCGAGTTTGAACAGCAAAGATCCTTGCGGTGGAGCCAACCTTTTTTGGGCCATCTTTGGGGCAATGCTATGCGTAGTCTTCGCAAGACATGAAACCAGGAGGAGATCCGTTCGGCACACGCTGGAAAACCAAAATCTGAACCCAGCAATCCTCCTCAGCCATACGCGCGTGTTGCCGACAGCCCAAAACCTAGGCACAAACTGGCACACACCCAGAAGCCAAAAGAGAAGCCAAGAGGGTTCCCTAGCATACTCCGAGCCCTCATCCCTAAACCCTACCACAATTTGCGCTCCTGTGTTAAGAAGGCAAAGGCCTCCTCGAAGCCACGGAGACAAACAGCCAGGGCAATGGTAGCTGCCTGGCAGCTTGGAGGTCATCTCATGCAGCTGGGGTCGCTGGGTGTGGCAATTCTGTGTAGAGCTGCAAGGGCTTGTGATTTCAGTGGACCTTGGTCCGCTGTGAGATCTAGCAGTCACGGTATAATTATCTTGACCCCCAGCGCCTCAGTTGTACTAGTAGCAAGCATCGGAAGTATATATGGGGATGCGGAAAGTTTCTGCAGCAGCAGCGGCGGCGACAGCGCCAATGGCAGCGGCAAGCAACCCTCATCAGTCTTCCTTCTTCCTTTCTGCGGATGCTGTCATCTCGGAAACGATGCTTGTCACGATTGACGATGTCTCTTCGCTGTAGAGGGTCATGGCTCTATGGTGTTCAAGGCGATGCCAGTGGGCTACTCATGCCCGGAGCAAGCTCTTAAGAGCAATTGCCACCTTAGCAGAACAAGGAAAAACAAATGAACTACTAGCGCAATGTGACTACAGCATGTGTGGCAACTGGCTCGAGCCTGCGCGTCCTTGAAGACGCAAACGACCTTCTCATCCGAGATCCAATCTACTCCTGCGTCTCAAAGTGATGTCCTTTAGGGTGCTCCTCCCCCACCCTGTTTGGATGTAAAGCTTGGGGATTTGGAAGTTGATGGGTTTATCTGCGTCATGCGACCGTGTTCGTTCACGTGCACGACCGCATCCGCTCGCAGGCTAATTGTTCTCTGCATATTCCTCCTTTTCTCTCTCAAAGGTAGCTCTTCTGCATGGAGATACCACAGACTTGGAGGTTCTGAGCAAGCAGCCCCCTGACAAGTAAGCCTTGGCTGCCATACACCTTCTGCCACTTATGGTGACAACAACCTCAATTTTACTTAAACCCTCGCGGGGTGACAACAACCTCAATTTACTTAAACCCTCGCGGGGTGACAACAACCTCAATTTTACGTAAACCCTCGCGGGGTGACAACAACCTCAGTTTACTTAAACCCTCGCGGGGTGACAACAACCTCAATTTTACTTAAACCATCTTAAACCCTCGCGGGGTGACAACAACTTCAATTTACTTAAACTAGGGTCACGGAACGGGCGCTGAGGCGAAAGCTGCGGTTTATTTAGGGTTGGGTTTAGGCTCTCGGTTCAGGGCTTAGGCTCACGCGAAGGTCGGCTGAGCACGGCTTCGTGCTGCCATTTTACAACCCTGTTCTGCCATCATACGAGCGGTCCTGATGCATGGACTGCCGACCTGTGGCGTGCCCTGCCTTCCGTTGCCCTTCAGCGTCTTTGCCAGGGGCTCTCTTGCATCGAGCGTGCAGGCGTGTGGCCGCAGTCGTGCTTGCACTGGCGCACCGTGTTCATCCCCAAGGGTTCCGCCCAGGACAGGGTCTCTAGGGTCGATAAGGTTAGGCCTATCAGCATTGCCAACTTGCTGTATCGAGTGTGGGCTTCGCACGTCACGTCTCAACTGAGTCGTTTCGTCGCTCCCCCCTACGCCCCGGGGCAGGGCGGTGGTTTTGAGGCACCCGACCCGGAGTGTTTGCTGTTGGACTTGCAGCTTGAGGCCCCGGCCGAAACCCACGGCGTGGCGGTCGCTCTCTCGACTTCTTGAAGGCCTTTTGCTTTGCATGCTCTCCGGCAATGGGGTTTGGAAGGGCCGGCGCTCACTCTCTTGCAGCAGCAGTGGCCGTTGGACTTGTGTTGGAGGTCGCGTCGCCCACGACGCCCTTCACGGTGCTTGTGGGCTGCCGCAGGGCGACCCCTTTGCGCCTCTGGCCTTGGCGGCGGCCCTGCAGCCTGTTCTTTCTCGCAGTCAGTCGCGCTTCCCCGATGTCAAGCAAGTCCTGTTTCTTGACGATCGCACTTGCGTCGGCACCGCTCTCCATCGCGTCCTGGCGGTTGTTTCTGAGTGGGATGAGTTTAGCACCATCTCCGGTATGTGCACTACTTGTATCTCCGGTATGTGCACTAATGCCGAGAAAACCCAGATCTGGGGCCGCACGCAGGCT